TCTGGGAAATTTGACGCATAGCCTCTCCAACCATTGCCACGTATCCGGCACCTGGAAAGACGACCTCCCCCCCTATCTTATGCTCCAATAGCCACGGTACATTTTCAGCTTGTAGCATATTTCGCCATACAGGTTCCAAGTCGCTCGATTCCAGAGCTCGACTTCCTAAAAGTTCGTGGTGGGGAGCTGACCGAAGCCTCCAGTCCCTTGTCAGGCGGGTTTCACTCCAAAATGATTCAGAATGATCCCACGAGTAGGGGGCAAGGTCTGTCACTGTTGCTGCAGGACGGACTAACATCGATAGATCGATGGAGACTCCCTGGGCGTGCATTTGACCAGCTGTGCTCAACAAGCACCTCGATTGGTCTGCGTGTCGAACGAAAGTTGGTATGTAAGAGCAGTTTCGCTTGGAATTTGCATCTGAGATGATTTGCCGCAAGGGTCCAGACAGCACCGAGTGTGGTCCAATTTCAACAAACGCCAGAGCCTTTTCATCATCACTCAATATCTTGCTCAGTGCCGTGTTAAACATGACTGGACTTTCCACATTTCTTCTCCAGTATGAGGGACTCAGAGCGCAAGGGTCAGAGATAATTTCGTTTGTAACCGTGGATACTAGTGGAGTCATAGATTCATTGAAACAAATTTCCGAAAGTAGTGACTCGAATAGTTCTCCCACCTCTTTCATGTGGTGTGAATGGTAAGCCACATTCACTGCAAGACGCCGGCAGAACACCTCGCCTTGTGCTTGTATGTCTTTCAACATTTCATCGACCGCTTGCTCGTCTCCGGAGATGGTCACACTTTCAGGGCTGTTCTCGCACGCCACAACCACGCCATTCTTGAGGTATTTCCCTGCTTCAGCACGTCCCAAGCCGACTGCCGCCATAGCGCCATTTCCTTTTGCTGACTTCATAGCCAGTCCACGGAAATATGCGATCTTGATTGCAGAGGCGGCGGTAATTGCTCCTGAAGCATATGCCGCGGCAATTTCGCCACTCGAATGTCCTACCACAATGGACGGCACGACCCCCAGCTCCCGGAGGAAGTCCACCAGGGCCACCTGTATGGCGGTACAAAGGGGCTGTGCAAATCTAGCCTCTTGAAATCGGCTTTTATCGTCGGCATGCATTAGTTCCTCTAGATGTTGTTAGTTTCACGCTATGTTTAGAAAGAGTTCAAGACATGCCTTCGATACTCCAATCAGGTGGAGTTTCCAGTCGCTGTAATTCCTCATCTAGTCCCTGTATGACTGACCGGAATTTCTCAGAGCTCAGGATCATCTCTCGCCCCATGCCTGGCCACTGTGCGCCTTGTCCGGTGAAGACGAAGCAAATCTGCGGGTTGATTGCACGCGCTTTCTCAAATGTCGAAACCGTCCCATCTTTCTCCACGATGGCAAAGGCTCGGTGTTGCATGTGCTCTCTTTTAAACGCCAGTGTATATGCAAGATCCACAGCAGCGGATGGGGTGTCATGTAGATAATCGTTGATTAATCTGATGTTGCTATCCAGTGATGTGGCCGACTTGGCAGAGGCGAGCAGAATGTGTGGTGGGCCTGGCCTCTCGTCGGATGCTACCCCAGATTGGGATCCTGCACCTACAGAGAGGGCAGAATCCAAGACAACCTTGAATTATTAGCAGACTTTCTTGGAATATCTTGCGGTTATGATCGGGCTGAATGCACTGATACATACATGCGCATTGGTACCACCTATACCGAATGAATTGACGCTGATCCTTTCACATCTACCTGCGGGCCAAGGTGTTGGATCCACAGGAACTTGCAACTTTGCTTCTTTGAAAGGGACTTAAGATAAAGAATGAGTAGTTTATCCCGCAAGGAACTAAGGAAGGTAATGTCTCACTGTTGGGATTTGGGGTATTGAAATGTATATTGGGAGGAAGAATCCTGTGCTCCAGCGCGAGTACGCTCTTGATCACACTGGTAATTCCAGAAGCACCTTCTGAGTGGCCCAAGTTTGGTTTCACCTAGTACGTATCAGACACCGAATTATGAAGACTTGTAGTTATTTCGACTCTCGACTCACCGCCCCAATATGTATGCCTTCGTGACCAAACACATTGGCAATCACAGTTGTTTCAGCTGTGTCGCCGACGATTGTTCCAGTTCCGTGACACTCAAAAAACGCTGTTTTACTAATATCGGAAATTCCTGCTTTCTGATAAGCCTTTCTGATGAGTGCTTCCTGTGCTTGCGACCCTGGAGTTGTTATGCTAGGTGTCTTGCCGTCGCAATTGACAGCTGTAGATCGTATCACAGCGCGAATGGGATCACCATCCCTGAGGCATGCATGTAACGGCTTGATGTAGATTGCGTTTACGGCTTCTCCTCTTCCATAGCCATCTGCAGAAGCATCGAATGTTTTCGAAATTCCATCTGGGGAGAGTGCCATAGTCTCCGAGACGGCATTTGTGGTCGTTGGCGTGATGATCAAGTTAGTCCCAGCCACCAACGCTGACGAACATTCGCCTGTGTATAGTGCCTGACACGCGTCGTGTAGACCTACAAGGGCCGCAGAGCAACCAGTGCGAAACGTAATACTGGGACCCCGCAGATCATACTCGTAGGATACTCGGTTCGAAAGGGCGAAATCCGCCGCGCTGACGACCCTGAACCGATCGATGGCCTGGGTGTCCTTGCTCATCAAATCCAACCAGTCCTCACCAAACACTCCAACATAACATCCAATATTCTTTCCACGGCATTGAGATGGGAGCTGGCCCCCATTTTCCAAACACTCCCATACAACCTCAAGCAGTATTCGTTGTTGCGGGTCGAGTTTCCCGGCTTCTAGCTTGCTCATGCCGAAGAATCCAGCATCAACCTGCGATATATCTTGCTGAAGGAAGTAGCCATGCTGGGTCCGAATCGCACCAGGACGAGTCTCATCGTAGAATGCTTCAATGTTGTATCGGTCCTCGGGAACTATGCAACGACCATCGCGTTTGTTGATCAACAGGTCCCAGAGCTCCTTCTCACCATTGACACCGCCGGGAAGCCTCATTGACATGCCAACAATCGCGATCGGGAATGGGACGGGCTCGCAGTTGCTGTACACCTCTGGTTGTACCGCGCCATGGTGGTCTTTACAGTGTGAAAGAATGGCGCTCGGTGAACTTTTAACATCCAGTCCGTCCATGATCAGGCAACTGTTTTCTCTGCCCGGCAATATTTGCGCTCTAACGTGGAGCAGGGACTTCCAAATTTTATCTGAGGATCCGGTGATGGTAGAAGAAAAGCGATACACCTTCCACCCAAGAACGTTTGAACGGTACCTATCTCTAAGTGTGGGTTGCACCCTTCATATTAAGTGCGACCACTTACAATCCGTACTACTAAGCGACAAGAACAACATTAAAAATCACGTACGTCTGCGGGATTGTCGAACCCAAGATCTTTCATCGCGCTCAAGTAGCGGTCAGCAGAGTTCAGAAACGATCTTAATTGTAACAATGCTACATCATTGTTTGGTCTAGACCTTGATGCTTTCTTTCTTTCCCTTTTTTTGCTTCCCTCTCCCTTTCTTCTTCCCCAATTAGTTGTCTCAGGTTGTTATTTCCGCACCTCTGCCCCCCATTCAATGGCCGCGTGCTGCCCATGGCACGACCTGCCTTCAACAATTGAGATAATGAGTATATTTGCATTGTCTATCCATCAACCAAGGACAAGACAACTGTGTGTTGCTATGTTCCGTGTTCCACACTCGGCGTCCCAAACATGCCTTGTCCTGTGTGCATTGTCACACGAGTAAAATCGGCGATAATGCAGTCAATGGCAGAGAGGACGGCAAGACGGGCGATCGCACATGCGTATTTGGAATGCCAGCAAACCCCGGCATGGCGTAAGAGCTAGCCTCGTCCTCAGTCCTACTCAGTTCTTCTTGGGCAATTCACAGGTCCATATAGAACGGTCGGTATGATGTGTTCAAACCGACACTGAGACAAGAAGTGGCCAAAACAGCACTTCAGCTCCCAATTTTCCGCCACTGGCACTGATCTGTATGTTTATTAGCCAATGCGGAGGATAAAAGCTGTCTCGTACTCTCTTTGCTTCTTAAGAAGAGAACTTCAAGCTTCAGGAACAAATAAGAGGTCGGAAACAAGGACATTGTACATTACTGTACCATCCCTTGCATGAAAACCCATACTATGCGCGTAGATCTACGCGCCCCCTTGCAGCCAGAGTTTTCTCTTCATACTGTTTAACTCCAGCGTTAGAGAATCATAAGTAGAGCATTGTGTGACCTGTCGTTTCCCTTTAATCTGACCGAACAGAAAGTCAACTAAGGAGCTTGAAGCGGTGAAGACCGAAGACAATGTAGCAGTGCAAAGACTATGAGATCGATTATTCCATCAGATCAAGAATGGTGCACCAAACGGAAAACGGACAACAACAAATACCCAATTGCAGAACGAACGTCAAAGCGATGCGAAAACAAGCGTATGTTTATGTGGGACTATTATGGCAATGATCTACATTCTCAAGGGGAAAGGAGTAAGCGCGAGCTGTCCCTGACGGGACGGACAAAAGACCGTGTCATACCGCAGGGGAGGGTACTCTGCTAGTGACTCGAGCAGAGGATCACAATTAGGCTTGGTTCCTTTCCTTGCCTAAGTTGTCGGTTTAGACTAATAAACTTTGACACATACGCTGTCTGAGACTTGAATGTCCTCTACACCAATCCGCTCGACCCTAGACTCCACACCCATAATAATTGATTGATCTGCTTATAAACATGTTGAGATACCGATCATCCAGAACTGGAATGTCCTCCTTTAGAAGTCTGAAAGGATCACCAATATAATCATCCTTTGTCCTTGTGTTGCAGGGAATGATGGGAGGAATGTTGCTCGTCCTAGATTTTTTTTTAAAGCAACTGGGATCCTCTCGGTGCCAGCGTGCAATATGTCTTCCAATCTCGAGAGAACTACATTACCATCAGAAGTCCAGCGACCATCCTTAACCAGAGGTCACCATGAAGTTCAACAGCGCCGTGAATATCGCAACTGTTGCTTGCCTTAGTGTTTCTCCCACCCTCGCCCTCGTAACCTCGTGCTTTGATGCCCTCGACTCCATTAGCAAAATACCCGGCCACTTTATCCTAAATGTTCAGCTGAACGCCTGTCCGGCAGGTTGCGCACCCAACATCGACCAGTGGAACAGCGATGTGAAGGACGAGATCCTCAACGAACTGTTGGAAGATGGTATCCAATACACTGGCATCAATGATGAGCCGGCACAAAAGGCATTTGTTAAATCAATTGATGACCTATATAACACGGTCGTCTCCAAGTGCCAGAAAGAGTCCGATGGTCTGAACCTCTGCGACGATGAAGACAAGGTACAACCATTCTTGGATTGCGTCAACAGCAACGCAAAAACGGCTGTTCTCAAAGGGGTGCCCCCATTGCTTCCCTACATCACGAATGACAGGTGCCAGAAAGTCGATGAATACTTGAACAGTGATCAGCTGTGGAAGGATGACTTTCCGGAACACTTCAAGTCATATGTCGACAAGTGCCACGATATCTAAATGTCATCAACACCAGCACTCTTCGGCATTTACATGCCTTGAAGGAAGTCACGATAGAGGTCTATTATAATAAATGGGAGGAACAATTTACAAAGAAACTTAGGGGATGCTGCGGTTCATTGCAATTGTACCGTTGAATTTCAGATTCTCTTGTATGAACGCAGCATATCTAATAAGTCATACATAATCCTTTGAATTTTCACAATATAACATTTTTTTCTATTTAAGAGGGACTGCCCGCCCGCAGAACGCACTGTAAGCGTGTCTGGACCAACAAGGGTTCAGTTTGGTGAAATGCATCTATGACATTCAAGTAATGATTTATCCAGCAATTTGGAGTTTCTCCTGAAGATACCTGAAGATACCTAAGCTTTCGAATCGTCATGTCGCACATAACACATAATTAGATTACTTCGGATCTAAGTGAAACTTTACTAGAAATAGACAGTAGACAGGCTCTGCCACACTGACGGCACAAGTTAATTGTAACACTGTAAATGCTCTGGATCGCTCGAAACAGCAACAAGAGAGAACAAAGACTCGAAACGTAGTTGACAGAGACACTTTTGCAAGACCTAGTTGATATCTACGAAATATAGTATATGCCTCGAAATGTGGGAAGCATATGGATCTTTTGGGGTTGAGAAGTTGTCGTCAAGGTATGGATATATATTTCTGTCGAGTTCAACTGCTGCTCTACGGGCTGCGAGATGGCTTTGCGAGATACATGGCCTACTTCGCCTTAATATAGACGAAACCTCGAAGGAACATAGCTAGACTAGGCTTCTCTGTTCCAACTGACTTCTTCCCATGTAAAGTGTAGAGAGTGCAGGAGTTGCATGGGCGACGATGATCTCAACAGGGAAAGGAAGGGATCTGTAAAATGTAGCCTGTCACATCCGATTCCGTGGCAAAGAGGGTGTAACACTGCCATTGAAATGATCTGACGTGCCATAATACGGTACTTGAAAAATGCTATCTTTCTACGAAGAAGTGTACTTCATACTCGTATCTTGGTGGGGTGACATTCTAATGTACCTGATATATCCAGAAACGCTGTCCTTCCCATAACCGAGCTTTATTACTCAGATAGGCAATGTAAAGGGCTACGATGGCAATATATTTTTGTTACATATCTTAGTAGTGGAGACCTCTGACATCCGAGGTGACACAACCAGAAGACTTACATAAGAATACATTATGTTATAATCTCCCTCCTCTCCCCAGGAGCCCAACACGTTCAGTGCCCATCCAAAATCAATAGTACAAGATGTCCCTGTTCTCCTTGTCCGGCAAGACTGCTCTAATCACCGGCGGCACCCGAGGAATCGGACAAGCAATCACCCTCGGGCTCGCTGAGCACGGCGCAGACATAATCCTCGTACAGCGCTCAACAAAAATCTCTGACACCCAACCGGCCGTAGAACGGCTCGGTAGGCGCTGTGAGGTGGTGCAATGTGATCTTGCCGACCGCGAACAAGTTGAAGGACTGATCAGCAAAGTTGTCGTCACTCAATCAGTCGACATCCTCGTCAACTGCGCCGCAATTCAACACCGCAGTCCGGCGGTGGACTACGATACACTCCATTATGAAGCGGTAATGCAAACCAACTTGACAACTCCATTCGTTCTCTGTCGCGATATTGCCCGCCACTGGATTTCGCAGGGGAAGCGCGGTAAAATTATCAATGTGGCCAGCGTGGGCAGCTTCCAGGGCGGTATCAACGTTTCGGGGTACGCGGGAAGCAAGGGGGGCTTGCTGCAGTTGACCCGTGCGTTCAGTAATGAGTGGGCTGGGAAGGGAATCAATGTAAATGCCATCGCTCCAGGGTATGTGATCCAATACGCGTTTCTAGCCAGGAGGTTCTTTCAGGACGACTGATTCGTTTTATTAGGTACATCGAAACCGATATGACCGCTGATACCCTGACGGAGCCACACCATGCAGCCTATCGTGAGTCTATTATACCACGAATCCCTGTGGGCAGGTGGGGAAAGCCGGAGGATATGAAGGGGGTAGCAGTTTTTCTGGCTAGCCAGGCTAGTAATTATGTTAGTGGGGAGGCGATCGTGGTTGATGGGGGTTGGTTGGCACGCTGATCAGCCTGATGTATCATGCCCATGACCTGGAGTAACTGCGCTCCACGGTATCCATCTGACATATCAGTTGGTGCTCTACGTATTATATTGCGAGTTATACTCCATAACTGTCTTATACTTCACAATGACACGTAGCAAAGACGGTTTCCACCCCCCTCTACCAACAGCACTCGAGCCATTTTGTCGATATGAATCGAGCTTCGTGGAAGAACGCTCCATCAGCAGTCGTGGCATAGTATATCTCATAACTTTCATGAATGCTGAAGGAACAAGCCATGTTATTCCCAAAGCCTAGTACACGATCCTGATGAGGTTAATCATCAGCAATGGCAGGCACTTCTTATACTAAGCGCTTTCTTCTGCTAAGTTTTCTTCCTTCGCTCTCTGATCCTTTTGCGATGTCCACCTCGTGCAAGAAACCAATAGAAAGGACAGGACTGGTGCCGCTGCTGTTAAATACTAGATAACCCATGTTAGCTCGGAAGTGTCTGATAGAGGCAACAGGAAACGTACAAATACTCGCGTCACAGCACTACTGTACGCAGAAATGACCACTGGGATCTCCGTAGAGGGAACAAAAGAGCGCCATCCTGAAGCCCCTGCGGATATCACTGCATTGGCGACCGTCGCAGAAGCGATATCGGCAAGTTCATTCTTGAGCTGAGTTTGGAAGACCGCTTCACCAATAGCCAGGAATATGGCACAGCTTGCGGAAATAACGAAGAGAAGGGTGGTCGCACCCACAGGCACAAGTCTTGGGGAACAGATGCCTGAACTCCTATGTGGGCCTATTAGAAAAATTAGCTTCTATTATCAGGGACAGCGTGCACGGGAGACCTGACCATGGTGACGATAAGAGAATATCCAATGCCACCTAAAATCTGGAATCCTATCCAATGACCATCGGATGTCGAAGGATGCAGAGTCGTCAAAAGCCCACCACCAAGTGATACCATTGCGGTGCCGAAAATAAGAAAGGGGTTCCACCGTCCCAGTTTGGTCACCAGACCCGCCGCGATTAATGAGGTGAGGACGTCGGATATGACGGTGGGCAAATACTTGACACCACTTGAGGTTGGAGAAGCCCCAAGAACAGCTTGGAACCAGATTGGAAGCCAGTATATGATACATTGAAACGCTCCATTTGCGAAGAAGGAAGAAGCACAAATAAGGGAGATGTTTCTGCTAGAGGTGAACTGTCGGGGAGGAATCAAAGCTGCTTCCTGCATATGAAATTGCCATCCGACAAATATGCACATCACTACCCCAGCACCTGCGAATAATCCAATTATATTTGCCGAGTGCCAGGAGTATCTCTGACTGGTTCCACCAAATTGTAGTGCGATTAGCAGCATGCTAACAGAACCAGCAAAGAGCAAGAAGCCAACGACATCCAAACTCCGTAGTTTTATCCCTAAGGGTATACTTTCGGTGGGAGCCCGTTTGATGTGGAAAAATAACAGTATAATGACGGCGGAGAATCCGGCGATAGGGAGATTGATGTAGAAACACCATCGCCATGTAACATGTTGGGTAAGTGCTCCCCCGAGAATAGGCCCGACCATGCTTGCAATGGCAAAAGTCGAGTTTAGGGTTCCAGTCCAGACTGCTCGCTTGTGAAGCGGGATCACGGAAGTCAAGATAACCAATCCATCAGCGAAGATCCCGGAAGCTCCTAGACCAGCAATAGCCCTTCCCACTAAGAGGACTGGGGATGATGGAGCAAGCGCACAAACTAAACTCCCGACCTCGAACAGAGCAACATAGCTCAAGTAGGCAACCTTTTTCGAAAACAAGCTGTAGGTCTTGCCGGCAACGGGTTGGCTGGAACATCTTCACAGGCGCATTAGGTGAGCCCTTCGCTTCCACAAGAATCTGTCAGATCCCTGGTTGGTACTTACAGTGAAATAAAGAACGCGCTCCCATACCAACCCACATCTCCGATTGAATGGAAGTCCGAAGTAATGACTGGAATCGCCCTTGCGATCAAGTTGAAGTCCTATTCCAAGGATTAGCTATACTTATTGATGCAACATGAGTGAAAAGGGGCTCTACCAAGCCAACCAGGAAGGTGCAGAGGCAGAGACCAATGGAAAGGAGAAGTAGCTTGGGGCCTTTCACTTCGTTGTCAGGGTCTATTCCTCCGTCTGTTTGAAGAATCGCGTCTGTGGAAGAGTCTTTCTCCACGCGCATTTCCAAGGGTGCGTCTCTTCTCGCGAGGTTGCCCATTCTTGATGGTTCTTTGCTCAGGCAAGTTAAACCGATGCTGAAAGAAGGCAAGAGAGGAGCACCGCAAGGATCATATCGCGGCTTCCGTAGTAGCTAAATGGCTGAACAGAAGTAATAAGCAGAACGTCTGGGAGGACAGAGATTGAGACCGGGAAAGGCTAGTTCCTCCTATGCCCTTGATTAGGACACCTGGACAGCAGAGGCTAGTATACATAGAAAGATGGACAAAGAGCACATCTTTTCATTCTACGCTTAGCTGCATGCTCGATTTACATTCTTACAGCGCGTAACGAGACAAATGAACCGATGGTATTGGTATACTTGATCGCATTGATTTTGGCATAACATAAGGCGTATAGTCGACAAGAAAAAAAAAACCACACATTACAGTAGTTCCAAGTTCCTGGTGGACGGATGGATTCCAGCAGAAGTATCGAGAGAGGTAGAAAAATTTTTTTATCCTACGAAGCTACTTGACACTTGACCTATGGCTTCTGCTGCCCAATGAACTGGAATTTAGCATTTATGACAGTTGTTGGTCCCCAGTGAGATCCCTGTCCCAACAGTACCACGTCATGTTGTGATCTGCGCCTCCATACATAGCCGATCATGATACAACCTCATAACTTATAGTTGCCAATAGCCTCCTTTTGTTCCAGTCACATCTACCAGGGTACTTAAATTGGAGTGCACCCGGTGAAATGTGACCGGAACCTTCCCCGTGCATTAGTGCTTAACCTATCACGCGCCATTTATTGGACGGCACGTATTCCCGTGGCAGCTCAGCACCCCAAGCATATCGCCGAGTTATTGGAGCCAACAACATCAATATTATAACTGCCCATGTTCATTTCTTAAGGGCTAACGATCGCCGATCACGCCCGGGGAAGGCAGGTAGAGCCTGACACCACTGCGAGGCTGAAATATCCACGGAGCAGGATTAGACGCCCGTTAGACACCGTAGACGTCAACAGTGTGACGGCTGAGAGTAGTCTGCTGTAGATACTGCGAAAATTTTTCCTTGGCATAGTTCCGTCTGATTTTTATTGCGTTGTATGGAGGCAATCAAGATTATGTTCAAAGCCAGTAATCGATATTCATTCTGTCCGCCGCGAACCAATCTCTGCCACTGTCCAATCCAATATTATCTAAATCGTAATCATCTTAACTATTGAAGCTAGCACTGCTGCTGCTCGATAACGTTGGCTATGTACTGCTGGTACTCTCCAAAATTCTTGATACCCTTCGGTATACCATTTGGTTGCAGTCCCTGCTCCTCCATTAGGTTCGACCGATTTTCCATGGCCTTTTGCCACGAGGGCCTGCTCTCCATACGCTTCTGCCATGCCTGCACGTTCGGGTATGGCGCCAAGGGATCCTCCCCGGACGGAGTAAGCAAGGCCATGTTAAGGCGGGTATTCCAGGGGAGAAATGCTAGGTCTGCAAATGTACATTTGTCCCCAACAAGCCATTCCTTGCCTTCAAGGATCGTATCAAGAACGCCCAACACACGATGACCTTGACAAGATGTGGTGTCAATTCTTGATTATAACCTGCCATATGACTTTACTTACCTTCCATGGATTTGGTCCAAGGGCTAATTCACACATTAGCAAGCAAGATTAGCCATGCCAGCGCCGGAAATACTGTATTGATGCGGGATCATAGGACCAGGGGTGCCTTACGAGTCAACCAGACGGTAATAGGTTTGGTCATGTTGTTGATGGAAGGGGGTTCACTCGGCAGTAAGTTCGCAATTGATGGGGGAGGTACCAGGTTGAGTAGGAGATGCCTTCTTATGTTTCTGTTGAGGAGCATTCAGGAAGGGGAGTGTTCAGGACTCGTCCTAAGTGACGAAGTGATGTGTTGTGATGCCTGTTTAGCATGACAGGGATTCCACAAGGCTGTCGCCGTGGTCATTTCTTTGTTCCATTCCTGCCTAGTGTCATACGGGCTCTTGTAGAGTAAGCCATCCTCGATGTTGGTGTGTCTACACTAGAACTGGTTAGTCATATTTTTAGTGCTTATCATGGCATCTTAAATCCACCGGGGCTGCTCGGAGGTGTAGTGTTGGCGTACAGCGGGATGTACGGCGTAATACCTCTCGTGCCCATTAGTAAAGCCGACGGAATCAGAGAGCAATATCTTTTCAATATTGCTGCCCATGAATATTACTACATAAGTCAAGTAGATAAATTATAACGAGGGTTTGCCATATGTTAGTCAAGGAGCGATGAGGAAACCGAGCAAGGACTCGTGGAAATGCATCCTCATTCCTCCTGAATTTATTCAGTTGGTGTTAGTTCTTATCCGGTAGATTCATGTTTTCTTGACCCCAGGGCGTACTCCTTACCAATTCATCTGTGATATCATGGCTATTAAGCGCATTGATATCCATTTCCAGTGTGACACGGCAAGACATGGGATGAGGAAGTGAAGGTAGGAAGCTTATCTGTAATGGGCTATTGACTATATAACCGAGGTTTATGCGAGCAAGATCTCTTTTAAAAGAACCACTTAAGATATCACATACCTAACAGGGTTTCCAGAGAAAGACACGAACTCGTCAAAAAATCTATAGATTGATCCAGTAGGTAGAATGGTCCTTACAAAGGTATTGCAAATAATTAAGGAAAAACAGCGACTTCTACTGGGATGAATACGTAGGACGCAATGAGACAGGAATAAATATACTAAGCCACAGCCACACCCCAGGAATATGCCTTCAGAGAATTATTGCAAAAGATATATTGTACAGCTTAATTCTTCACTATGCTGGTCGTACTTATGATTCCGGCTTCTGCCTGGTGGCTAAAGCGAAAACAATACTAACTGAAGTAGATGAACTCCGGCCAGAGAACACACACTCTGCTCAACACCCTTTCGATAGCCATAACCTACTACAGGGATAGCCCTTGCAGCGCAGTATGAGGAGAAATACTGATTTAGTTTAGAATTGAAGGCGAACCATGACACCACTGCTTTCGTAATCGCGAGGGCAGGCATATAAGCTATTTCAAGAATAGTATTTCTGCTCCCAGCAAGACTCAAAATGTTCAACTTTTTTTCCCCAAACACCCAGACAACATGCGCATTCTCTGTCTACACGGCTATGGCACGAGCGCCGAGGCCCTCCAATACCAGCTGTCGGGCCTGCTTCATTCGGCAGATCCTAGCTGGGAGTTTCATATGCTATCTGGCGAGATTGAATGCTCGCCTGCACCTGGTTTGTAAAACCCTTTGAGAGTCCTACCGGAGAGATAGAAGATCTAACCACTATTCGATGACCCGCTCGAAGGCATCGAAACCAACTTTACTCCCCCATATTACTGCTGGTCACGCACATTTGACGCACCATCCATCGAGGAGGCTCACACCTTAATCACCGAAGCGATTGAGGATGAGGGTCCCTTTGACGGTATCCTAGGATTCAGTCAGGGAGCCTCAATCATTGCCTCCTTCCTCCTCGAACAGACTGCCAGCCACCCCGAAGAACCACTCCCATTTCGGTTTGCCATATTCTGCTCGACAACAATTCCCTGCTCCTCGGACCCTAACTACTGCCAGTCCTTAATGGGAGGTCTGTCTCGGCAGGATCAGCAGCGGATCCGTTCTGGGCAGGATGATCAGCTTGCACAATTGCCCACATCTATCAAGGCACCAATTGAAGAATTTGTCAAGGTGATCAAGGCAGGCCGGTCGATTACTCGCGAGCCAGCTCGCTTCTTTCTGGACCGGGCTATCGAAGAAATTCCCTGTGCCTTGCACCCGGACCATTTTGCGGGCCGCCTCTCGATCCCTACCTTGCATCTACGGGGTCATAATGACCTCCCTGGGTTATCTGACTGCGCCTTGCTAGTAGAGGAATTCTGCAACCCCAACTGTCGCAAGACCATTCTTCATTCTGCCGGACATGATATCCCGAGAAGTGGGTCGGAGCTGAGGCAATTCAGGGCCGGATTGGAATGGCTAATTGCGCAAAGCCAGTTGACACCTCAGTAAGAAGTCGAAAACAGGGAAATCGTCTGGGCTAGCTTTTGTGGCGTTATTATATAGAAGCATACCTTTTTCTACATTGTCAATGCGTATGCATTATGTGCAAGAGGTACTCGGACTTGTTGCGTCCTCGAACCAGCGGTATGTCTCAGAACATTTCCAGCAGACCTGCAGAGAGCATTGCGGGCAGTTTGAGCGGTGTAACATTGGTAGCGGGAATTCCCGCTTCTATGTATAATGTTCCATAATGTGCCGAAGAATGAAATGCGCAGCATTTGACCTGAATTTCAATTGGTGGAGCGTGGGGGCTGAGCTACATACACTCCAAGAAAAATGATCTAATGGAGAGGTCGGGTGGCCCCACTCGGTACATGATCCATCCCACTGGTACATGAGCCCCAGGTCCAGATTTCCCTCATGGACCAAGGCGAACCTGCTGAAGGCTGAGTATTGCTCCCTCGCCTCCTTGCAGTGTTCTAGATTTGGGGTACAGGAGAGATCAAGGAAACATTTTCGGCGCGATAACCTTAATAGCCTTTGGTGAGATTATGAGCTCTACTGATGGGCCTTTTCAGGGAAGGAGACTCAACCTTGAGAATCTAATTTTAACAGGATAGATAAATCTTCAGGTATCCAAGAAGTACACTTTGGAACTCAAATACTAGATATACCCCCAAAGCAGATCTAGGTCACTGCCATATGGCCTGACCGCAACGCGTGAAGATTGAAGCAAGGGGGAAGGGAGGGAAGGGGCTTGTGATGAGGAACTCACGTGCCGGATTCGCCAGCGGTGCACGCTTGGAATTTGGCTGCTAGCTTTTCATATCTGTCATCGTTAAATGTACCCATAACAGAGTGTGATATGCACTACGAACCTAAATTCCCTGAGTGCAAAGCGTGCTACTTAAGACCCACATCGGTCCAGACCTTTTGCCTACTGTCATCCTTGAATATGCAGGTCCCCGGATCTATACGCCAGGCAATGATCGGTATTTTAAATCTACGTCACAGGGAAGCTTTTCCCGGAGATCGGATCGAGCAAGCCAAGCTAATCCGGCTACGTGGGACCGATGATCAGAACCCCTTCGAAGAAGTTTAATCGTCCATTATTATGGACGCATTGCATTTATTATGGTAACGGGTCACTTTGCTGCACCAATCCACAATACACGAGGGCGAGGCAAATTTAGTTCATGGCCGTCATTGTGAGAGGTATCCATTGTTGCAAGCCCCATAAAAATAGGAGTAATAAGCAAATCTTGTATAGTAGCCGATTAATTCAGGTCTGCTCAATTGGCGTCCTTTCACCCGCCACCGTGCTTGTGCAAAGGACCTCAGCGGTCCGAATCTAGTCTCAGTAGCCACCTGAGGATCACGGTTTCGTACATTACAGCAAATGTTATAGTTTCAACCTACTTCTGTAAATGGCTGAGACACATTTTGTCAATTCCAAGAGTATGCACAGGCGAAAGCTCTATTACCCTTCGTGACGGCAAGGCGAGCTCACCAACAAAGCGGTAAATGAAATCACAGCGTACAGCTAATTACGGAACAGGAGAAATCCTCGTTATTTGGTGTATTTGGCAGGTTTTGAATCAGCCATCCCTTGGAAAGACAGCCATAGAGAACTCACGCAAAGCCGTTCCTTGCAGTCTCCATTGATTTTCTGTATTGACCCAAGGCTTGTATACGTATCGTTGCACATGTTACATTCTTTGAACAGGGTCTGGAACCAGTAATATTAGAATGCCATATTTGTTGCCGTCGGCAAGGTATAAGACAGCAAATGAGGGGAGTAACTTGAATCCAGCAAAGCCTAAAGGAATGTAGCGGTCATGCGCACACACTACACAAAGATAGAAGAGAACAATGCCGTTGCTTCATTCTGCAGAACAGCAAAATACCCTTGTTGCTACGACATGCCACTGCCACTTGCATAGACCTGCGTGGGCTCTGTCCTGATACTCAAAGACGCAGACTGATCTCCAATGACTTTGTCACACTAGTACGCAGCTTCCTTCATGATTTTGTCTTTTAGCTGCCCTCACCTGCAGTGATACCCACAGGAGAGACTTGGAGTCGGAAGGTAGTAAGCTATCCGCTAGCCGATTAGCGAATCTGCCGCTACATAGACCATCGTGTCTTGTAGATAGGATCGCCGATCACATCCACCTTGACGCCCAGAAACAAGCAGTGTCCTTGCGTGGTTTTGCAAGCCTTGCATAGCGGTCGTCATAGCATGTAGCAGAAAGATCAACAAGAGTCTAAGTACCCCTAAGCTCTGTGACGGGCGGTGGCAGTGCTGTGAACGGTTTAATCCGGATATGATGTAGGTTGTGGTAGAGATTGTATATACGTATAAAGAATGGAAGTAAATGCAGAAAATGTGCCGAAGACTTGAGATAACGGAAAATTAGTCAACGTGAAGTTACTTGATTAAGAGACCACCTTAGTGCATTGAGGTGACACGGCGTCGTGACGGCCTACCACTATGAACAATACATCATCATGCCCGGAGCCTATTGCAGTGATAGGCCTGGGCTGCCGTTTTTCTGGCCAGGCGGCGTCGTTAGACGGCTTCTGGGAGATGTTGCGAGATGGACGAAAGGAACATGGCCCTGTACCCGGTAAACGATATCAAGCCGCGGCGTGGAAGCATCCGAGCCATGAAAGAAAAGGTGCCGTACGTCCTCCCTCCTCTGCTCCTGACAACAACTCCTCGACACGAATGACATTGAGTCTGAACAAAACCAATGCCACTTAGATCAACCAT